TGTTAGGACTCATCAAGCAAAATTGCTGGCATAATTATTAAAAATGTAAATACCCATATCTCTCTGTTTAATTCCTTAGTTAGACCGCAAATAATCAAGATTTGTCAGGTACTTCTTTCTCTACTTGTCTTATCGGGCATGATGTCAATGCCTTAAGTTTAGACTTTAATGTATCAACAGACTGTCTATGGAGGTAGTCCACTATATCACAAAAATGCATGGAGCCAATGCATCACCGTATAGGATTCTAGTCGTGATGATACTCTTTGGTTGGACCATCCACAGTTTGTACAAAACAAGAGGAATTTTCGTACACAATAGCAATTGATTTGACAATTGCTTTCTGTTTAGAAGTCTTCAGCTCTTCAATTATTCTTTAGGGCTAGAATTTTGTGGTGTGGTTGATCTGCCCTTGCAAAAACCATTTTGGTTACTTCAGAGGCTTTGCGGGGAAAAAATGTATCATCAAGGTTTGTATCTTGATACGCGCTGTTCGACAATACTATGAATAATTTTAAAAAATTGAAATTACTTAATATTTATTTGTTTTCACCTTAGGGAATCATAAATCTTGGCACAGCTGAAAATAAACTGATGTTTGATGTTCTTTCTAAGAAGGTAAAAACATTTGAAAACTCCTTTGTTCTGTAACTAATTTAGATCATTTTGTATATAATATGCATCTGCTGAATTTTTTAACCTACTGTCCATTCAATCAAATTTATATAAAAAAAGTAAAGTTAAAACTTCATTGTACCTTGGATTTGTACATTTATTTTATTTATTCATATGTTTTTATTTTATATTAATGTTTAGTTTAGTGAGCCTGAATTAAATGTGTGGAAAGAAGAAATGTTGATGTATAGTGACTATGCTTCCATCTATGAGTTGCGGGAATCAGTTGCTGAATTTCTGACAGCTAAAAGCAATGCAGTAACCCCTCTTGATCCTAATAAGGTAAACATAGAGGATTTAAACATTAGCAATTACTATTCCATGCTCTAAAGGGAGATTATTCTACAGATGTTACATTAGTGCATGAATGTAAAAATATAAAAATTTTAGAAATAACATTTTTTTTTAAATTTAATAATTAGTAAAAAATATATGTAAATATATATGTAAAAATAAATATATGTAAATGTATGGAAATATTAGTACTGTTTAAAATAGCAATTTATGAACGAAAAACAGGGGGGTCATCTTATATGCGCAACACATACAAAATTTTTTATTTTTAAATGATGTTCGGCTTACGATTGTATGTAACACAATAAATAAAGCTACTTGGTATGAATGAACGCACTTAATGCGGGGAAATAAGATTTGGATGAACGTTTAAAAACCCGTAAAATGGTATCATTTGGAAGATTGGCTCTACACTTGGCTCTGTTTTTAGCCAGCTAGATGCAGTATCAAGACCATAAAAACACCAAAAAGTACAAATTCCGATGATGAAACAGGAGGTCGTCTTATACATCCCACCTACAAAAATCGTCCAAAAATCTTCTTAAGCTCTTGGGTCATCTTATATGCGAGTATAATATGCAGTATTGTTGAAATAAAGTGATGTAAATAGTAATGTCAAAAATAATACTATATATAACAGATATGTAAGTAAATAACATGTAAAGAATAACATCTTAATAATATATATATATTAAATATGCCTAATAATAGTGCATAAATAATATGTACAGTGCATAAATAATATTGGGATAATATGTAAATAATATTGCTATTTTCCATGATTTTATGTATAGATGGTGGTTATGAATGGATGTGGTTCGGTTATAGAAACAATTGCATTTGCCATCTGTGATGCAGGAGGTTAGGTTCTTTTCTCATTCAACAGTAATTACCAAAGTTAATGATCAATAAATCAAGTTTCACTTTTCCTACATAATTTATTAAAACATATCGCAAGTGTTTGTTTTGAAGTGTGTGACAGAGTAGTAAGTAATTATAATATATTAGGATGAGAATTAATTTTAAGAAAACCTTTTTGACCCATCCAAAAATTGATTCCTGAACAATTATAGGGTCTATGAAAAATATTATAGAAATTTTTTTTATACATCTGTTAATAAACAAGATTTTCAATAAAACCTAATAGATTTACATAATAAAACTTCAAAGAACATCACATAGTATATTTTTAATAGGAATAGTACCCTTACAGTTATTATATTACCGGTAATAATAAAGCTTTTTTTCTCTGCTCGTATTCAATTATATTTGTTCAACGTTAAAATTACAACATATACTGGTATACCCTATAATTTGACCAAAAATAGCCACGAAAATATAATGTAAAGTAGTCTTTTGATATGGAATGTGTCTCACCCAATATCTATCATCAATGTTATCAGAAAATTTCATTACACATTTACAATTTAAAAATCTAAACAAATAACATCAAACCATTTGCATTAACTAGGAACAACATTGCAATTAAAATTATTGATTGACACATTTGGCCTTTATATACTAGACTTGAATATACTATAGGCATCGGAATGTAATGTTTTTAATATAATATCATTTATTGTTTATGTTTTTAAAGATGCATTTATGACACCAAGTCCCTACTATGGGGGCATAATGCAAGACTCAATTCTCAGAGCTAAAGTCAACATCCATCCAGTCCATCTCCACTCAGAGGTAAGCTGTAAGAGTGTAAACCAGAGTGTTTGCCTGAACTTTTTGAAAAATAAAAGAGGAGGTCTTTTTTATGTCTTTTATTTCATTTGATTTAGTTTGTCAAATTTATATAGCCTATCCAGACTATCACATTATATTTGACAAGAACATGTCATTCCTAAATGTGGTCATGATGACATCACATCATAAAATGTATAAGCATTTCATGGCTATATAAGGGCATACAAACAGTTTTTTGTCAAAGAAAATTTGGTAGTCTGAAATGTTTTTGGAATAGGAATATTACCACTATTAGGATACAGCAATAAAGAAGGATTACAATGCTTGAGGGGGTGGGGGACGACTAAGGACGTGTTTCCGCAGCACTTATAATTTCTCCGATAAATTATCTTAAAATTACCTCCAACTATTTTATCCCATCATGCAACATTATGGACAACAATGCAATGTGTTCAAAACATCCGTTTTGTTGACCTAGCAGGTGACCGTTTTTGCGCAAGGTGGATAGGCCTAGCCAAAGAATGAAATCGTTTGGTACTATTTCACTCTGGGAAATATACAGTCACAATGATGTTTTATTGTACTGTAGTTCTATATAGGAATTGAGAAGATGAAAAAGATTGCTGGCTTTGTTTGGTGTGCTTTATGGTACAATAAAAGATAGGTAGGGGACTTACACCTAGAGGCCCAGCTAGGTACCATCAACGTCAAGCGCAAACTTTCAGGCTTTCTTTAATATTATTTAATAAGCATGAAAAACAAGTTTTTTAATTTTTTTTGGGTAAAAATCATTGGAATAAAAACGGAGTACTTGGACGTTTTGAATTGTATCATAATTCTTTTCAACTGACTGAAATAGGTGTTACACTTCAGTGGTCATGACATCATCAGTTGGTTGATGACGTCGTCGTACCTTCTCCGATGTTTGGAGATGTTGCTCTTTGTCCAATATGCTGGCATCCTAATTTAGTACATGATTATGTTATGTGTGCATGGTCTGTGATGGCGAACTTGTGTTGAATTGATGATCCGGAAGCCCTGGTCATGACCCCACTTGTGTGTTTGTTGGCATCTTTTATGCGGTCGTGAACACCATCTCCAATCATCGGAGAACATACGACGACGATATCATCTACCAACTGATGATGTCATGACCATTGAAGTGTAACACCTATTTCAGTCAGTTTTTCAAAAAATTCAAAAAGTTCAAAAGAATTGTGATACAATTCAAAACGTCTGAGTAAGTACTGCGTTTTTATTTCAGTGGTTTTTATAATAAAGAAATCAATAACTTGTAATATACTGAAACCAGATGAAATTTTTCAAAGATCTAAGCATGAAAAGTGTACTCAATGAAAAGTGTATTATGCAGTGTTTCATCTTATTCCTAGGCTACTAACTCTCAAAAAGAATTCTTTGCATGTCGTGGTTTGATGTTCGTCAAAGGTTATTTATTTTCGCATTCGGATCTTTTTGCGAGAAATTATCGGATTCTCATGCAAAAAATTATCTGAAACTTTTGGCTCTGTTACAGCAGCGAAAAATAGCAAAATGGCTACTTTCCGATAATTTATCGGATAATAAGTGCTGCGGAAACATGACCACTTGAAAATGAGATAGCATGAAAAAAAGGGAGAGCAAGGGGTGGGGGGACAAGAAGCTAATATATATTTTACTAGGCCTTATTGCTTCAAACCTATACTTTCATTCTGTGACCCTATCCCTCTCTATTGATGAGGTCATCATTACTCACCCACTTGTCTTTTTCTACATAATGGTTGTATATTGTATAATGAACTTACATATTCATAGCCTTTATGTGTTCCTAGAAAACGGCATCATTAATTATTTATTATGGTATTAATAATGATTAATTTTTTGAGTAAAGCCTTGATTATCAGTCAAAATTTATTATGCTTTTTACCCATTAAAAATCTCATCTATTTTATTTTCAGACTGTTTTGAGTTTTATTTATATATTATTTTAAGTGTATTATAATTGTAAATAGTAGAGGAGGAGGTACACTTCATCACTTAACCTTAAGCTGCCCCTATGTTTAAACATTTCCATTACAGATAAAAGAAAATGAAACAAAACCATATCAACTAACAGTTGAAAAACTTGAGAAAAGTTTAGAAGAAGCAAAAGCAAAGGTAAGTTAATTTCGGCTCTGCCGTCTAAGCACAAATTGTTCCATTTCATAAATGTAGTTTTTTATATTTCATATGCTTTTGGTCCATTGGCCTGAAGGGGATAGGTAAGGTATTTTGGTGAAAAGGCCTTTGAAAGCTACAGTATACATGCCTGCTAACATTGAAGATTATTATTTCCATCATTGATTGAATAAAAAATTTGATGCTAAAAAAATTTGATTTGATTAAAAAAAATCAAGACACTTTTCACTGTTTCCAAGTGGGTTGGGTGGGGCAATCCCCAATGACCCTCCCGGAAACTGAAAGCTTGTAGCACTGCATGGTGCTATTCAGTAATGTAGGTTATCATGTTTTATGGCCTATATTTGATATGATTTACCACATTTCTTTGATAGTTTAGTAATCTACCTTATATTCTTTTTAATTTTTCAGGGGATAAATATCTGTGGACTGTTCATCGTGAATCCTCATAATCCGCTAGGTGAAATATATTCAACCGAGTTGATCAAAGATTGTCTCCAGTTTTGTCATAAGTAAGTTATAGATAGCAGCTTTGCGTAGTCGGCTAAACTGGTTGTAGCTACTGTGTTTGTGCTGAACCATGGAGATCTCTGGTTCAATGCCCATCGCTGCTCTCCTTGTGTTTCGGCTGGATTCAAGTTGCGATTATACTAATAAAAAATACTGTAGTAATAATACTGTAATAATACCATTATAATCATATTAATAAGACTGTAAAACAATTATAGGTAATATAATAATAGAGCTGAATCCAAGTTACGATAGCGCACCGTCTTTTGGATGAGACGTTTAAGCCGTTGATCCCGTATGCATTATGGGCCATGTGCACGTTAAAAAATGCAGTGCACTCTTTGTAAAAGAGTAGGGGATTGTCTTCCGGTGTACTGCCCACTCACCACCAGAAGGAACACACTGGAACTAAGTCTTCTTCAGACTCATGGGTTATCCTTGGTGTTTACACCGAATAAATCTATCTAAGTACTCAAGCCAAACTTCATTTCTAAAGAATATATAATAGCTGTTAAATATGCATTTAATTTATCTGATAGTGGAGTTGTTTTTAGTCAGGGAAAATCCAGCTGTCACAGGAATGGAAACCAGTCCTCATCATAACAACCAATATTTAACTCCACTAGATATGCATGTTCATACATCTTTATATACAGTGCTTTCTATTTATCTTAAGGCATTCTATCCATATAATATTTGATGAAATATACCTGACGAGTGTGTTTAAAGAAGGTGTCCAGCCTACTAGCATCCTTCAATTCAAACCAGAAGATATTCCAGACCCTGAGAGAACCCATCTGATATGGGGCTTTAGTAAGGTAATACAGGATTCCAATCATTATTTCTAAAGTTGGCACTTACTGCGCCCGAGGCTCACCAGCCAACGCAATTCTATCAAAGACACAACGCCATGATGTGTGCACAACGGATCGTTTTTAATGATGTTTATCTTGTTTATCTTTTAATCTCTTGTTTATCTTGTTTGTTTCATCTTTTTGATGTTTGTAAGCTCAACGTTTTCAGCTGCCTGGCTGCTTGTTGTGCAATTTTATACCATAATAAATAAATAAATAAATGATCCGTTGCGGTGTCACATCCTCTTGCGCTCACAGGTAGCGGAGTTGGATTTGTCGGCTGGCGGTGTACAACGCAGTGGGTGCCCGGCTTTAGGTGGATTATGAAGATGATTATGATAATAACAAATCTAATGCATAATATAATTTATGTTCATCTTAAGCCCTTTCCGGACTATCAAATTTTATTTGACAAAAACATGTGACGTGCCTAAATATGGTCATGATGACATCACATCATGACTATATAGGCACACAACAGATTTTTAACTTCCTGGGGGAATATTCTACAATATTTCTGATAGTAATCAGCGTATTGGTGTTCAAACCTACTAGGTACCCACTCATGGGGGTGGAGAGACAACTGTAGGTGGTGGCTCCATAAATTTGCCGACAGGAGGTTTGACATGTCCGGCAGAGAGTCCGAACCAAGAGGCTTACTAGAAATTTGGTCAGGGTCTGGGAATAAAAAAAATCCTTGGTAAGGGTTCACAGGGAGAGTTTTTATGTTCGATGGGATGCAAAATGCCCTCAATTATAATGTATATTGAACAGCTCTATTTTAAATATTCCTTCTTTTTCAACAGCAACTTTGAATATTCATCTAGGCTTTGCTCTCTTTTTACATAGGACTTTGCCATGTCTGGAATGCGTGCGGGTATGTATTATGGGTTTTCCGATGTCGTTCGTCAGCAGGTTATGAATCAGTGTCGCTTCACAAAGATTCCTGGATTTATTCAGACGATGTTGTCCAAAATGCTGAAAGACAAAGGTAAGTGAATAACAATGAACTTTTATTGTTGAAACTTCATATAACTCGCATCCTCAAGACTAAACTACATCCTCACTTTTTTAACTATATTTTTAGAGAGTGACCCCCTCAAGCATATCTTAGAAGGTCGGCTGATATTCAGGGACTCTTTTAAATAATTTGATGCTTTTATCAGTGAAGTCCCTCTGTGAGACTTAGGGGATGCAGTTGTTTTCAGTTGTGAGAAAAAGTCCTGCTGTCATAGGAATTGAACCCAGAACCCTAGGATTAGGAAGAAGCCAAGCACCTTAACCACTAAGCTATTCTCACGAAGTTAAACTTAAAACAAACAGAGCACTTCTTAGGACAAGAGAGTGACAAGTTATAAATTGTCAGTTTAGGCCTCAGTTTTGCTCATGTTCAGGAAAGTGCTTTAATTACCTCCGCCAAGGATGTTCTATATTCAGTGCTGTACTTTCTGTCTGTCTGTCTCTTTCTGTATGTTAGCAGGATTATGCAAAAACTAATGAATGGATCATTACAAGATTTAGTAGAATTGTACATAATAATCAAAGAAAGGCACCTTTCAATTTTCGGAGGAAAAGGTGAAAAGACAAAGGTCAAGGAATTTTGATTGTTGACCTATGAGCATAAAAGAAAATAATGGAATTGCCCTTCGCATTCAGGCAGCGCTCAAGAAAACAATGTGCCTAAATATGGGAGCAATTCCATTATTTTCTTGAGGGTAGACTGCAGTTTTGATCATCATCATTAATGGGGAGGCTAATTATTTAGCCACTAATCATGACGTCTATGTGACTATCTGGCCTCCCCACATTGTTTACCAAATTTTCATCAATGAAAAAAATAATAAATTCTGCCAAGAGAAATAATATTTTAAACTTTGAATCTTCTCATTTATGTAAAGTATTAATATAAGGATGATGACAGTACTGATGACAATGATGATTGCACTTATTGTAATAGATATTTTTATTATGAAGATAATTTTAACATCAATAAAAGTAGTAGTACTAGTAAATTATATTTTCAGATTGGTTAGATGATGTCTACTATGCCAATAACAGGAAGAGATTACGAGAAAGTTACGAATTGGTGACCAGAGAGCTAACGTCCATAGGAGTGCCCTACCTAGAAGCATCATCCAGTCTTTACCTCTATGCTGATTTCAGAAAAGTATGTGCAAACAGTATTTTTAAATTTTGTAAAACTAACTGTTTTCATTATTATTATGAGCTGAGCATTTGGCCGATTGGTATGGTTCCTGCCTCTTGCACGCCACGGCCTGGGTTCCAGCTCTGCAGCCGACTATTGAATTCGGGTCTGTTATAAACACTCCGCTCCTCGTATAACACTTTCAGAAGATTTAGGCAAGTTAAGGACCATCTAGTATCTGTTGTATGTTGTAGTTTAAGTCAGGTGGTGCTGTGCTGTGGCTCCTGTTGGTCCACAGAGACCCAACCCAAATTTCCACAGTGTATTACAGTTAAGGACAAAATAAAGAATATTGTTATTATTAATTTTGCTATTAATTATATTAATTTATGATGCACTGATAAAAGAAATGATCAAACCTGCAGATGTTGTTGTTGTTGTTGTTGTTGTTGCTGTTGTTGTTATTCAATGGCATATCTAGGGATGCACAGGGACAGACACCCTCCCCAAAAAAAGCTGCTGTTGTTGCTATTGTTTTTATGTCTATGCCCCATTGGGGGCAAAGAGACAATGTTGCCTGGAAGTTAAAGATGGCTGACAGAGTAAATCCAGTGGAGGTGCATGATGGGTCATGTGTCATCTTAAGTACTTTACTACTGTACAAAAGTCATTAAAAAAATACAACACTACACACTTCCTGATAACCAAATCCCTTGTGGATACTTTATTAGTAAACATAATACAGCATCGGGCAGAGACACGCTCTCGCTGGGACCCTAGTTTTGTCATTGCTATTGTACTTATTGCTATTGTTGTTGTAGTTATATTTATTTATATATTATTTTATGTTATTTATTTTAATTTTTCCAGTTCCTGAATGAGCCTACATTTGCTATGGAGAAGGAAATGTGGTATAAATTCCTTGATGCTGGAGTCTACATTTCTCCGAGTCAAGCATTTTACAGTGATGACCCTGGCTGGTTCCGAATTGTATTTTCAGTTACCAAAGACATACTTGAGATTGGTTAGTGATTTATCTATCATTTTTTATTTTTATGCTAAAACGAAACATCTAAAATATTTGAAAAAGAAAGGTTTTATTAATATAGAGGTACATATAATATTTGGTTGAAATAAAAGAGACCAACCACCAAACAAAATGTGTACTCACTGTCTCCTGCCCAAACACACATCACTCCCACTAAACACCTGCGCACAAACACATGCACACACCAGCTAGCTAACAGTAGAGTGAGACTTTCAAAACTTACAGTTACATAATTAATTCAGTTAATTCAATTAATTCAATTAGTGTCTTATGTCAGACACTACTGTATCATCAACAGATTATCAATTTACATCCAATCATTAACATTAGGTTTGTTGTTCAAAAATTATACATATGTAAGTTTTAATTTGAATACTTATTCTTTATTTTTCAGGCATGGAAAGAATCAAACAAGTTTGCAAAGACAACCATCCTTGAATAAAATACTGTTTTCATCTTTTTTAATCCGGTTTAAAAAATTTATACAAGTATTTTATATAACTGCTAGTTATTTTATTAAATCTAATTCGTTATTATGGTTGTTTATACAGCAAACCTGATGTTATGTACTTAATATTTTATTAATATTTCAACATTCTTTGATACCTCTTGAGAATTGAAATTAAAGATAAACAATTGGGCTAATAAATTTTAAATATCCTGTACAATACTTGAAAATGATTAAAACAACTCAATCAATATATTGAAATATTCTTAACAAAACAACAGTTCTTTTCAGAACTATCTATGTGGTTTACTGCAGTCATTTAACACATTGCAATTATAACTTGTTACATTCTTTGTAAAGCAAGCAATTGAAAATCAGAAAACGCAATTATTTGAGGTTTTTTCTTTTCCAATTGACAGGCCTTCTTTATTTGTTGAATTTTGGCTGATGATCATTTTAAGAAATTTTGTAGTGAAGTTTTTTCGTATTTATTCAAATTTGAAGTAAACGCCTCCCTCGAATAACTGCTCCGGGGTGTTTATTTTTTCCTTGTATAAATGCCAAATGACTTTAAACAAAACTAATGGAAGCAAAACCATTCTCAAAAGATTGTAATAATGTCTACTCCAGTAGAATTAAATTTTTTCTAACTGGGTGTGGATTAATAAATCTTTATGATTACTCAATATCTCATTTTGACAGTAATTATGTTTTGTAATTCCACATTTAGAGTGAAATATTATAAATTATATATACTAATAAAAGCAATACAAGTTTATACCTCGTCATGTGTGCAACCAAAATCGAAAATCTGAAGTATATTTTTGAATTTTTGTGCCAAAGATTGATAATGATGTTTCAAAATGCTACTTTTAAAATTTTAAGTAATAAATTTTATACATTAAACCTGAATTTTAACCCCGTAACCATTTCATCAAGGTGGATGGGGCGGGTGATGGTTGGCAGTTCCTGGAAGTGAGCGAGCTACTGACCTTGTTTCCCAAAAAACACTTGTCCTTGGGACAACACAAACGTGTTTGTTTGGTTCTGTTCTACCTTGTTATTACTAAGTCAGCATAGTACAGTACTTCAATGACAATATTTATAATGAATTGTATTCATTTGCAAATGAAAAATTTGTATGCATATTCACTACAATGTTTGCTCATTTGATCTAATAAATATACCAGTCAACATTGCAAACTCTCCAGATTTTAATTTTTTTTTTAATTTTACCATACAACTGTTACTACTCAGGGGTGGATCCAGAATTTTTCAAACAGGTTGGGGGCACAACATATTCAGAATAGATAAGTGAGGCACGTGCACCCCCACCCCCGTGCCCCTTACTGGATCCGCCCCTGCTACTGTATGTTTGCCAATGCAGCTTTGCTACGACCTACAGGTTAGTTTAACCACCAGCAGTGGTTCCAGAAATTTGCTGCAGTGCAGCAGTGTTAACGGCTAACTTCCTACAATATCATATACAAAATATGACAGTATTTATTTCTAGCCGTTTCTCCAGATAATTTATCTGGCCAAACGCCCTCTTGAGGCGCACCATTGTGTAATGCAATGTTCCCGACGGTTATTTGGATCTGTTCAACCATGGTCTAGTGGTTATGACGCTCGCCTTGTCAGCGAGAGGTCGCAGGTTCAAATCCCGTTGGAGGCATTTTATTACACAATGACTTTTATAGGACTTTATTCGTTGAAAAGCTACA